GATGATTTTCTGATCTATGTTATAGAAAACTCATATCTTCAAACAACCACCAAGTTGGTTTATAGATATCATCAAGTGATGCACCGCTTGATTTCGAATGTTTTATTTTATTTAGATGGTCCAGATATTGTGATCTTAAATTATTAATTTTTTTTTGCAATTTTAGTTGTTAGTGGTTGTCCTGTTAATTCTTTGTACTGATTACAGATTATCTGTAAAGCTTGATCTTGTTTCATACGATTATAATAATCAACACTTTTTGTAACATATAAACAAAGATGTTGTTGATATAACATTAATAAAATTTTAACATTTTCCTTATTATCCATTTTTATTATAAAAGAAGTTTTGACTGAAAATCAATTTTATATATTATTATATTTTCTTGAAAAATAATATGTATATATAGGTTATAATATATTTTAATGTCTAATTTAATCTGCATTAAAACTAATAATAACTACTTATGTAAATCTTATTAATCTTATTAATCTTATTTTATTTAAGAATTATATTTCTCTTATTTTTTCAATTCTATAATTACTTACTAAAATATTATTTATATTGTTCACAGTATCTCGTATCACTATAAGTATCTTATATTTTGTCTTGACAGATAGTAAAAGAAACTAGTAAAATCTAATAACTTGCAATAAAGGTGCAATTTCACGTAGCGTCAAAACGCTAGCGGCTCTCCCCACTCTGGCGCTTCCTATACAACAATTCGACGTTCAATAGATGTCTATAGGACGTCCCACTCGACATGTACGGACGTCCAGATGACGTTCCAGACATGTTCCGAGAACGTTCAGTAGATGTCATTTGTACGTACAATGTACCGCCCTTAGACGTCCTCTGTACGTCCTTAGTACATCTTTAGGACGCCGTCGTATGTCGTTGGTACGTCGTTAGTACGTCATTATCGTGACATTACTACGTCTTCTATACGTCCTTAGTACGTTATTGTTGTATTTTATTTAGTAAAATATATTTTCATGTCAGTAAAAATAGTGTAATTAAAAGTAAACAAATATTTTATAATAATGACAAAAACAAAATTAAAACGCGCATATTTGTTTACATTTTATACTATTTTTACTGACATAAATCCTTTTTCAAAAAAAACGTCCGTAAGAAATCCATTATGTTACGTTGCAACGATGCACTAATGCCGTACTACGAAAATATGTTGTTTAAGTATGGGTATATACTTGTACTTAAATGCATACAAGTATAAATAACGGACACCAATGCAATTAAACTATAAAATACTTTTTTTATTTTAATTGAAACACAATAAAAATTTTTACAACACACCTGTAAACTTTAAACAAAATTTTGGTTTGTTTTAATAACATCTCTTCGCAGACTCTTTGCAATAATAAGGAAATTAAGTGGTTGCTAATCAAATATTCTCTTCAAGCAAGTAAAACTTATAAAGCACCTGTTGTATTCACTACGTATACATTTCAACGTAAAACGTGTGTGGTCGCAATGATATCGATTATTGACCAAAAAGAGAAGTGCTCACAGATGGTAGCGGCTAAACCCTTCACGGAGCAAGCGCAAATCACAATGGATTGAAACAATCGTGAAGAGACGATTCAGTCAAACGATAATTTTCGCTCCGCGAACTTAAATAGAATTTAAATTTTTTATTATGAAACGCATTACACATTCTTCTCCTGTTTTTTTAGGCGATCTGTCGCTCGCCGGAACCAATCAATTATTGCTGTTTCGATCGCCCGATCGTCGATCTTTTTGTATCGGTGTTTCACAGCCTCTGTAAAAGGAATAGTGACTATATTACAATTACGTACAATTATGTACCCGGGCATAATAATATTGCACGTTAAAATAATTTCTTATGCGTAAATAAGAGGTTCTCTTTTTTTTGGAAGGACT